ACCAACATCTCTTTTCTAAGCTTGGCTCTCTTTTTGTCTTCTCAATTTCAGTAGTTAAACTCATCAATCAATCCCTTAATTTATATGATAGGTCTGTATTTAAGATGAATATTAACCATAAATTAAAGGTATCTTATATTATTAGATATATTATTATAAAACATGCTCTAACTAAGGAGTTATTAATACTTCAAGTGCAAAATAATGATATAAAAACTTGATAAAAATATACTTTTAAGTACTAATCAGCATACATCTTATATAATTTTCTAGGCATTGATTGATTCACTCTCTCAGATTGCAGATCTGATTGAAAGTAATAGGCAGAACTCATGAACAATTTGACCCCATTCTCTTGAACAATTGTTTTCAAAAAAATGCTTGTGAATATCTTGTCCCTAACAATTACAATTGAGGTTGGCATTCCATGAAACTTGTAAAAATGATTCAGGACCGAGCTAAAAATGAATGTGTTAAGGCAATAAAATGAGCTTATTTAACTATTATTATTATGGTACTCATTCCGCCAGATTTAGGAAGTGCTATAATGAAATCCATTGTAATATTTTTTGCATATACCTTCTAGTAATGGAAAGGGTTATAGCAACTCTGGATAAGCCACCCTTTCTAGTTTTGCCCTCTTGCAAGTATCATATTCTTCCACCACTTGCTTAATCATTTGCTTTATTGATGGCCAATAAAAATATGATTTAAGACTCTTATATGAATTTTGAATACATGTGTGCCCCTCAACATAAGAATCATGAGTAGCATCAACCAGTCTCTTCTTTAATCCCTCGTTACTACCAATTACAACCATGTTATTATACCTTAGTACGCCATCTGCTAATGTAGACTTAGGCCGACTGTTAGCATAGAGTAACTTCTTAGCCACAATATCTCTCAGTTGTGGATCATTTTCGTAGAACTTGCTTATTATCTCTCCATACCACGTCGTGATTATTATTGTTATAGCATGAATGTAGCTGACATTGTCTGTAATTGCTCCTTTATTTGCTATTAAGCTATCTTGCAGATAAACCTTCATGGACAAGGCATCTGCTACCAAGTTACCCATTCTTTTCCTGTGTTAAATGGTATATTATAGCTCTAACAAATTTGTTAGTCCTTTTCTTCGCAAAGGGGTGTTAATTTTCTGTTCCAATAGGTATTCCAAGCTCTCATAATCAATTTTGATGATAAACTGAACATATTCCAGGTAGTGTCGTTATCTATCAATTGCCATTAAAATGGCCATGAACTCCTTCTCATAAATTGACAATCTCATGTGATGAGAACTTAAGGCCTTGCTAACAAATGCCAAAGGTTTTCCTTCTTGACTAAGCATTACCTCCGAGCCTGAAAGCACAAGCATACGTTTCAAGGATAAAAACCTTATGAAAATCTGGAAATGTTAATACTAGAGTCTTGCACAGTGCCTTTTTAAGGTGATCAAAGGCTTTCTAAACTTCTAGGTTCCACCTGAAACTATTCTCCCTCAATAATTCAGTTAGAGGTTTACTTAAGATTCCAAACCCTCTAATAAGCTTTCTATAATAGCTTGTCAATCCAAGAAAAATTCAGTCTTCATAAGATCATTTTCTAATCCTTTTACCGAGACAATATGGCCAAAATATTCAACTGTCTTCACAGAATGTGCACTTGGATAGTTTAGCAAATAATTGGTTGTTTCTTAGTGTTTCCATGACCAATTTGAGATGTTCAACGTGTAATTCTATAGAAGAGTTGTATATTAAGATGTAATCAAAGAAGACTAAGACAAATCTCATTTATTAAGGTTCTAATATGCTATTCATCAAAGCTTGGAAAATTGCATGGGCATTAGCTAAGCTAAATGGCATTACCTTAAACTCATAATGCCTTTGATGTGTTTGAAAAGAAGTTTTGGCTATATCTTCTTTTGAAAAGAAGTTTTGGCTATATCTTCTTTTTTTCATTCGTAATTGAAGATATCCTGATAGTAGGTCCGGTCCTTAAAAGAATTTAGATTCGTTAAGCTCATCCATTAGTTCATTTACAAGGGGAATCGAAAACTTATTTTTAATGGCGAGAATATTTAATTGTCTGTAATCGACACAACATCCATATATTGTCCTCCTTTTTAACCAAAAGCACAGGTAGAGAAAAAGGATTGCTGCGATGCTGTAAGATTCCATTTGATAGCATTTCTCTCACCAATCTTTCAATCTCTTTTTTGTGAATAAAAGAGCTCTTGCAAAGCCTGATGTTCACTGGTTTCGCCCATGGAATTAGTGGAATCTGATGATACAAATTTCTAACTGATGGTAGTTGTTTTTGTTCCTCAAAAAGTAATTGAAACTCCCTCAACAATGTTTTGATCTCCTCATTTTCAATGTGAACATCTAGTTCTTCAGAAGTGGTTATAGAAAACAGTTGCCCCACAAAACCAGAGATAGCTTCTTTTAAGCTCTTACAAACTTTGGTGGCTGTTATCATTTGCAATTATATTGGCACTACAATGCCCTTGAGCTCTATATTGTCATGCCTCCCTTCTCGAAAGAAATCTTTTTTCTTGAAGAAATAAAAAAAAAAAAAAAAAGCATAATGGAAGTCTTTTGAGTAATAGCTTTAATTTCTTGGACAACGGCTTCATCAATGACGTTGACGGTACTGCCATTATCAATCAAAACTATTAAGTCCTTTCCCTAACAATTCCCTTGGATCCTTATGGTTTTGTATGCATATCTATCTACCATAGCATTAAGATATAGACCATACTCTTCTATTGTTTCAAATTCTATCTCTATCCCATTAGTATCTCCTTCTTCAGCTTCCTTGAATTCTTCATCATCTTCATCCATCCCCTCAATCAAATGTAAACCTTTATTGTAGCACTGATGACCTTGTTTATATTGCTCCCCACACTTATAGCACACTGCCCAAAGCGTCTCCTCTTTTCATACAATGATTTTGCAGGTTGTTTGGTCTCCTTCAGTGCATCATTTTTCATTTGATTGTTAATTTTGGAAGGAAGGTTGCTCCCCCATTTACTGATCCCAGTAGTAAAAGTTGGCTTAGCAGCTATTCTGCTTCTTCTTACCATGTTTTGTATTAGATTCTTCTTGTCATTTTGCCTCTTCAAAGGCTTGCATCAATGAGGAAGGTTTAAGGATCTTTAGCATTAGTTTCACATCATCTTTCAATCAAATGATGAAATTGGAGATATAATAAGATTCTGGTAGTGCAGGGTTCATGACAGTCATTAAAGATCCAAGCTCCTCAAATCTTTGTATATAGTCTTTTACTTCATTTTCTTGAGATAGTTTTTTAAACTCCTTTACCACATCTTTCTTGGCTCCGAACCGTAGGTAGATTCCCTTTGTGAATTCTTCCCAACTAACCATCTCCCCATCACTTACCATAAATCCTTCAAACCATACTTCTCTGCTCTCCCTTCCAGGTACATAGAAGTTATTTCCACCCATTGATTTACGGGAATAAGGTGTAGCTTGAAATACTTTCTGCATGTCCTAATCCAACTCCTAGGATTTTCTCCTTGAAAGGTTGTGAATTCCATTCGTGGTAGAGGTGTAGTGTGACTTCCTCTATGCCCATCCCAATAATTTGATCCTTCCAGCATAATGTTGTTTCTAGGAAGTGGTAAAATTCCATCTGCAACTGGTCCAGTTATTCTATTAGAATTTTGGTTCCTCGTTTCCTCTTTCTCAGCTTCTTGATTGATAACTATAGGGAATCCAGCTGTGCTTTGAATTGTTCATTCTTCTTGAACTGCTCCTCCCACTAATTCTGATTCTGCAGGAAATCCGCATGCCTCTGTTGTATCTGTTCTTGGAATTCCTCATGAATTCATTGTACTTGTTCTCCCACTATCGTTGCTGACAAAGAATGTTGTTATTGAATTAAAGGTGGATCTTTAAATGTTCTGATAGCAATTTGTTAAGGGTACAGCCTTATCTTTGGAGTTGTGGAGAAAAGACAGAAGAGAGATTGCAGAGAGAAAGAAAGAATAGAAGCACATTGTACAGAAAAGACCGTTTCATTGATTACTTGATTGTCAAGCTAGGAATTGTTGCCCTTATACACGAGATGTTCTTCCAATTAACTACTATCTACAAAAAGACTTAACTTTTCTTCTCTTTCGAGTCAGATGTTTCTCCAATTTCTTCTGTCATTTATTCAACATGGACATGCAATCAACAATTCGGTCATATTCTTTTTACCTCTTAAATACTGTGTACTAAAACTAGTTTAGAAACCCGCGTCAATATTGTGAGAAGAACCAAAAGTTTATTCAATAGCAAGAAAAAAAATATTTCAGTTATATAAAATTATTTGATATTATTAATATTATTATTAAACATGATTAAATAGGTTTACCTTCCAACCTTTCTATTTGATTTATTATTTAGTTGAGGTTTAAAATTAAATTATTGAAGAGTTGTTTAATTTGAAACAAGCCAACCAATAAAATATATTTTAAAAATAAAATTGATTAAAAAAAAACATATTAACCCAACTCCAACCTAGTTTAGATTTAAAATTAAATTATTAATCCAATCAATTTAATTACTTCAAAAATAATTTAATTAAACTTGACCTACTTCAAAAATAATTCAATTAAACTTGACCGACCGATGGATAGGTAAGAGAATGGTACAGCATCCACCATTTACGTAGTGAAATCTTAGTGAAAAGTTCGGTAGTCGTAGAATGATGGCGGTGGGATGATGACAAGGTGGTAAATGATGATAATGGTGATGGCTAGGCGGTGGCGGCGAAAGTCGCAAGTCGTTCGACAACATTGTAGGTGAAAAAATGTGAGCTTCAGCAGCTAAAAAAATCTCTGCAAATGGACCTTACATTAATAGATATTATACACAACAAACATCCCAAAAAGGAAATAGAACGGTAGTAGAAACGTTTTTTTGGCAGCTGCCAAGCCAGACATTACGTAAAGGCAGTTTGATTTCCAATAGGTGCCGGTGGCTATGGCAAAATGCTTGCAAATGACCTCAATATTACATTCACGTAAACGTTCTTTACTTGCACACAACAAAGTACATCCAGAAAGCTACACAAGCGCCAGAGAAGAAAAGGGTCTGGTTGGTATGATGCAACTAGACAGACAAGAAATTAAAGTTCGCAGAATTATAGAACAAACTAGCCAATGTACTAGAAAACACGAGACCAACAAATAACCCACCGGTATTAAATTTCTCTTACAGTGAACTGTCAGTACAATCACTAAAATGTCTAAAGCCTAGCAAGCTCTGATTATTGTCCAGTGGTCTCATCTGCTGTTCCCATATCAATGTATCCTTTGCTTCACCCGCCTTCCATTCATATCGCTATCTAAGGTGTCATTTCCATGTGTACAAGTGATGACAGAACGCTCACCATTTTTGGCAACATATTGCAGTAGTTCCGTGATGACAGAAGGGCAGCTTTCTTTTAAGTATTCAAACCCATCTGTTTGCATCACAGCTGAAACGAATCACCAGCACACGGTCATTAGTTCTGCATTCATTAAGAAAGTCTCCAACCAACAGTCACTATCAAAACTTAAAATACTATGCACACACAAACATGCTGGAAAATCAGGGTGGACACTAATCAAGTGTATAGAAAAATGTTTATTCATTAGTTTCCATACATCCCCAACAACAACACTAAGCCAACAAAAGGAGAGAGTAAATGGCAACCAAATATGACACAATGCTTTGGTTTTTGGTAGTTTGGGAGTCCATCTGATTACATGAACATACACCACATTCAAATGATAAAGAGTTGACTAATGCAATTACTGTTTGAAAACAATTTAAACACCAGGGGTGGTTGGCTGAGGAAACAGATGAAAAACTGAGCTCTGTCAAAGCCTAATCAAGCCATGCATAATCAGCATCACCTTTTCATTAACTTCGTTCACTGTTTCGTAACAAAAGGCAGGGGCACTATAATGCAGTAAAATTAAAAACAAGTGCAAGCAGCAACATAAGACAAAAAAATAAATAAATAAAACTTTATAAATGTGAATATATTAAAATTCATGTGAACACATCAATCAGTAAATATCTTAAAATGTTAATTGCACACTGGATCTCATGAGGATCAATCCATTCAAAAGCTACAGTGCAAAAAATGGGAAAGGGTGGTTGGTTGGCAGCTTGCCCATTGCCCTTTTTTTTCTTCGTGTGAAGTAAAGAAGGCCATTAGCAAGTCATGACTCCATCAAAGCGGGTTGCTGGGGAGAGATTAAGGACAATCCTACCATACAGCACTTTTGCATCAACTGTTTTCAACTTCAAGACTTGAACCTGCAACTTTATACTTGCATGTCCAATACTTGTACATTGAACACTATGGCTGTAACTCATTTATCAAAAAAGACAATTTTCTACTACATATCAAAAATCCAAATGGAGGCACAGGGATGAAAGTCTTACCTTTCAAATTTTCAGGCAAAGCAATGAATTTGAGACATACAGACTTTAGTTGGATGCACTGATGCTGCTCCGCTAGAGCTAGTGTTGTTGCAACGGTGTTTATTGCAACATCTTCACAAAGTCTAGCCTCACAGAGCAATCTGAGCCTCTCAAGTGCATAGCGATCTGCTGCTGCAAGCAGATGCTGAGCCATCAGTGTAGAAACCCATTTTGAGTTCAAACCAACAAGTTCCTCAATGTCTGGTAAGGCATCCCAGTACATAAAATGGATTAACGCCTGCAAACACCCAAACATGAGAGAAGAACAAGTTATATTTCCGTGAGTTAACCTATTCACCTTTCCTCTTATTTGAAAGATTATTTATTAACCTTATGATCAATAAGGAACTGGGTAAGCTAAAAACCTGGTTTATAGTCTTTAGGATGATTGTGATTTTGGTTTAAAGGGATTTAAATATTATTCCAGCAACATTTGACAACTTTAAGCCTGTCCAGTATGCCTTCTAAACCAGCAGATCTAGGTTCATAGGAGGTTCAATGGTGATAAAGATGTCACCAACCTCTGCCATCCCGATATTCCATAGCTTTTGCACCAATATTACACCATTTGCATTATACATCCAGGCACCATAAACATTCAATTCTAAACAGTTTTTAAATTAGTAACACTAGCACCCTTAACATTTATCACGATTTATATTGGCTCCAATCCAATTATCAGAAGCTCAATAGAAGAATCTAGTTAACAGAACATTACCAACACTAAATAGAAAGCCAACATGCTAAATAAAAATAAAGAAGCAGGGGTAATGACAGGGTGAAAGCGAAGCACAATTAGGCCATTCTTCAGTTAACCTCACAACAAAGTCATTTCCTTTCTTAGGTCCAGCCCAATTTCACCTAGGGAAAATGCAGTTACTACTATCATCTGTGCAACTACGTTGAGCATAGTAGAATTGTTTGGTGTCATTTTGTCCACAACAGCATATGCTTAGAAGCCTAAAAACAATTGAATTCCAACAAGAACCGAGACGAAATAAAACTGACTTGTTTTAGAAAATCATCAATGCATTTGTTACAAGGAATAGAAACGGTATGGTGTAGTTATCCTACTGCAATTTTATCACCTGATCTATCAAGCCAGAACATGGATGAAACATAGTTCAAAATTTTTGCCAAAAGGATTTTAAGAGGTGTGAATCAACTAGAGTGTTATGTATAATTAAGCAAGGATACTCTCAAGCTGATGCAATGAAATATGCAGCTTACTTGACTAGTAATGGACAAACTGCATATATAACAGGACAAGCAGGAAGAGAAGCAAGAAACAGTAAACCTTAACCGGAGTGAGTAAGAATAAGGATAGGAGCAGTGCCTTGGGAGATGAATCCACATGTAAATTTGTGTATGGCACCACAAATATCCTGCACAACACCACAATTACTCACCTAACGAAGGCAACCAGCCAATAAAGTTACCTCTTCCCATGAAACTTATCATGGAATGCATAACATCTCATAACTAATGCATTAAAATTACTAAAACCTTTAAGTGCAGACCAATACTTGAACAATGAGGACCACCTGTACTCTCAAGTATATGCTACAGCTACAGCTACAGCCAAGACATTACAATAACTTGGCAAGTTCACCGCTTCAGACAAATTCCACCTTTCCAGTTTAAAATACGTTTAACAAGCACAGTACTTAATTGTGCCTCGCTCAAATTCCACCTTTCCAGTCTAAAATACGTTTAACAAGCACAGTACTTAATTGTGCCTCGCTCGGGATTTCTCATTTCAGAATGCAATGCTGTCCACTATTTTCCACTTTTATTTTATAGCAAAGGAAATGAAAGAAAGAAAAAAAAAAAAAAAAAACCTTTAATCAAGGCTTTTGCAACAAATCTTGAATTATAATGCATGTCATAAAATTTGCACATGCTAGGTTCAAAACAATATTGACATCTCCAAACTTGCAGTAAAAGATTATCTGCTTCTCGACTAACAGTTAACAATCACTCACGTTACTTGTGCTTCCTAAAACACTTTAAAAATGTAACCATATCAAAAAAAGGGCAAATATAACAGCATATTCCATTCAACAATCTGAACAGGAAGAAACAAGGTACAACCATAAAAACAGACAGCAGAAAATGAATTAAGGCTTTTGCAAGATTAACATTCCAGTCAGATATTATCAGATTTATTTTCACAGCTTGTTTGTCTGTGTGTGCATTCATGCATGCTCACATGCATGTAAAAGAGCGAGCAAGAACGAGAGTGGGGACCTTAAAAACCGGGGCTTCCATATCTTCAACTTTGATGCATTGAGTGTTTTGATCTTTCATTGGACCAAAAAGCTGTGCTCTAAACACTGGGGAGCGTGCTGCCAGAACTATTTTGTGAGAAGCAAAGGTTTCTCCATCAACTTCAAAATTAACATCAGTTCCCTTTCCACTGTCTAAAAGCTTTCCAAAATGCTGACCAATATTGGAAGGTGGCACAGAAATGGTGTAGGTCTTAGGCCCCTCAGTGTGAGACTTAACAACACCAACACAGCAGCGAACTAGTAGGGTATCATCCTTAAGATAGTCTGATGTCTCTAATTGATTCCTTCTATAAAATCGTTTATAACCCCTGCAGCATCCAACAGTAGCACCCATTACATTGTGTTTTTCATCTACCACAACATCCACAAGTAATCAAAACTACTGAAACTTAAAGAATGAATAAAAGATACTTGGATAATGTTGGTGGTGTAAAAAATTGGTCTGAGAAAATAATTGTTGATTCCCAGAAAGCATCCTTGCGCACTGCAAGGATGGCATTGCAGATGACAAATCCGAGAGCAATAAATAATGATGTTGCTAATGCGTACTTAAGATGACAAGAGGCTTAAAGATACTTCAATAATGTTGGGGGTGAAAAATTCTGGTTTGAGAAAGAAAAAATGTCTGATTCCCAAAGAGTATCCTTGCACACTGCAAGGATGGCATTATCCAAAGGAGCAATAAATAATGACGCTATCAATATGAACTTAAGATGACAAGACGCTTACTAGTAAAGCCTATTAATACATCGGTAATTACACGGTATATGAACAAACAATAGGAACAGACATTTAGACATTTTAAAAGAGGGAAAAAACAAATCTATTATATAGAATGCAATTATATATGAAATAGTGAAATACAGAAATATAGAATAATAACAGACATTCAACTAAGTGAAAAGTGCTCTATATGCCCTGAAAATCGAAAAAAAAAAAGCTATACTTAATTTTTTTTCCATATACACAACAATTTTCCATCATTTCTAAAAAAGTCAGTAAATTCTAAATTCTCACCAAACATCAAACAATTAGCTTTAAACCACACACAAAACCCAAAACGTCATGCCATAACAAAATTAATACTTGAAAAAAAAAAAACAACAATCAATCGTAACCGTACAAGCACTTTGATTAATTAGAATACACAACCCTAAAAATTCAGAATTCAGACATTTCAATCTAAAAAGAGAGAGAGAGAAAACTCACCACATACTGCCACGATACTTAAGCGTATAGGGCCCGCTCTCAAGGGCTCTCCCAAAATGGCTATGAACCTTATGTCTTTCTTTCCCACTTTGATCCATCAACGACAATTCAAACAAAGCCCTAACATCCGTCCCCTCGCTAGCAAGGGCAATGAATAAGGACACATAAGTGGCATTATCTTCAGGGCTTTTACCATCTGGGTAGAAATATATAGCCCATGCATATCCACCAATATAAAAGGTATCCGATGCGACGTATTTGCCTACCCCCATGCCTTTCGAAAGAGAATAGCCACCGATCTTGAATTCATGAGACCCATTTACGGTTTCCGTTATAGAAGATGATGTCGTTTTTGTTGGAATTGATGATGATGGGTTTGACGTGGGAGATGCTGCTGGGAGGTCTCTGCTAGAAAACCTTATTGTGCCCATCAACTATTGAGAAAAAGGGTATCTGGGTATCCTGGGTTTTCGTGTTTTCAGGGATATTGATGAGGGAATTGAAAGGGGTCTGATTCAATTTTGGATTTTGAGAGAGATTTAGGTGTCCTAACGGAGAATTGGTATTTGACAGGAAAAAAAAATGGATGAGTTTTTTTATAGGAAGATGTGAAAAGAAGAAAAAAGTTTGTGGTGGTGACGGTGGAGATAGTAGCGAGTAGTAATGTTTTTTTAAAAAAAGAAAATTGAAATATAAAAAATAATATTTTTTATATTTTTTAATTTAAATTTAATATTAATATATTAAAAAAATTAAAAAAATCAAAATTATTTGTTTTATGAGGATGATAATTATAATAATAATGTATTTTTTAGGTTTTTTTTATTTTGATTAACATCAATGTTCAAGTTATATTACACATACTTTACTTAATCATATAGGATTTAAAATTAATAATTATATAAATTTTTAATAACTTTGAAGAAACTCAAATTTATAATTATTAAAAATAAATTGAAAATTTAACAAATTAAATTATCATGTAACTTTCTTATCAAAATTAGTTTAGGTATTAGCAATATTTTGGGTTTGTATTTAGATGGTCCTATGTTGTATTTTTTAGTCATTTTCTTTATAATAAGATGTATCATATGTATTTTGAATAAATAAAGTTTTCTCATTTTATAGCTAAAAAATAATAATGTAAGACTCTCATGCATTTTAAATAATTATTTTTCATGAAAAAACAACTATTATCTATACTTTTACCAACTTTCATGCATTTATATAGCATTTCTTTTATATATATATATATATATATATATATTGATTAATCATTACCCATTAAAATAGGGAGCCCACAAGTGACCCTTCTAAATTTTTTATATTTTTTAAAGTATGTTTTGTTAAAAAATATATTAAAATGATATTTAAAAAAATAAAATTTAATTTTAATATCAACATATTAAAATAATAACAAAATATTTTAAAGATGTTTTTTATAAAACACCCTCTAATTATTAACTTTGTTCTATGCAAATACAATTGCACTTTTTTTTAGGTTAATTATTAATGTTATATATGATAATGCTATTCTTTCCATTGTTTTAATGTGGTGTAGAAATTCTTCTTCTTTTTCTTCTTTTGTAAGTATTTTAAAACTGTATTTCCTACATCAATCTCTTATATTTAAAAAGATTTTATAATTCTCTTGAATATTTGTCTTACGGTTTTAAAATTTAAACCTATAAAATCAAGATAAAAAACATATATATCTTTAATCATGTTAATCTCTTAAAATATAAAATAAAATAAATATATAGAATGATATTTTAATTTTAGTATTGTGTTTGAAACAATAACTAAGAATTGAAGTACCATGCAATATTTTTAATAAAAAGCTTTTATTTTATGATAGTATTATCAGAGCAACATTTACTTTTGCAGCTAAATCATATTTTAAAAAAAAATAATTTTTTTAATTTTAAATTATCTTTTTTATATTTTTCAATTATTCTAAAATGTTAATCTCAAATACTCTTTAATAACACAAGTGAACAGGATTGTGGTCATGACAATGAAAGAAGTGTGGTTGTGGTGTGTGCAATTCAAGTGGATAAGAGAGAGTAATGCAGGTTTTTTTTCTCTTAATTTTTAAAAAGAGATTTATTTATTTTTAAAAACATGAGATGATAATAAAATAAGACATTTTGACATTATTCTTTTTCAACAAGTTAATTCCACATTTTCCGCTCCTCTCTTGTTGAGAATTCTTCTTCCTAGATCATCAAGCATCTCCATCCTTTATTTCCTTTTGTTTTCATTTTTCCATTGCCTTCCCTCGGGTCTCGTGGTGAATTAGAAACGATAAGACAAGAAAAAAAAAATTGAATCAAGGGCCAAAATGATTGTGGCAAGGACAGGGGGGTTGGTGGTCCTAATCTAGCAAGATGGAGACCCTTGAATATTCGACAAACATTTTGGCCCTTGATTCAAAAATTTTCTTGTCCTATCGTTGCCACAAGTCTCCCATAAAGAATACTGATTTTTTTTATTTTAGAATTTTGATAGCAGGCGTTGGCAATGTTTTCAACTGGTGTGGCAAGGCATTACAGCTGTTTGTGATTTTAATAAGAGTAATACTTTAAAATATTTTTTATATAAAAATATATAAAAATTATTTTTTTATTTTTTAAAAAAATTATTTTTAACATCATCATATCAAAACCATTTAAAAAAATAAAAAATTTTCATTTTAAATAAATAATAAAAATTAAAACTTTTTGGAATGTGATACACAAACACTGCAGGTATATCTGGAATTTGGTAAAAACTAGTTTTTTTTAAATTTAATTTTTTTGTTTAAAATTATATGTACACACACACAGATTTTTGATATGCTGATATTAAAAATAATTTTTTTAAAAATAATATATATATATATGTGTGTATTTCTAAACCAAAAACACTTAAATGACAACTATTATCATATTCTTAAATATACCTTAAAAATCCAAAACAACTTGGAAAAGGGATACAAGGAAGGTCCAAAGTTAGGGCTAAAGGAGGAACTTTTTATTTTTTATCTTAGTAGAAGGTAAAACAGAGAAAGAAAAGGTCAAAGATCCCATTCCACACTGGTTAAAATCTAGAACATGAGAAGAAAGAGCTCTTAGTCACTCAAGCAAGAATATCTCTTTCTAAGTTTTTTCTCTCCCTTATAAGAGTTCCCTTCACGACAATAGCATCTGTCTTAGTATTTCAGGCAGGTTGGTTTATCTAGCTAATTGTTTCATTGTGTCCTCGAAGAAGTCTTTGTTACTTTGATTTACACAACAAGATTGTCCTAGTCAGCTGCCTCATCCTCTACCTACTTCTTCTCGCAGAAGTAGGGCTCAAACTCAAATGAGGTCACTTTCCTTACAGGATCAGTCTCCTACCCTAATCGTGCCTCCCTCACGAGCCCTTGACCCTAGTGGGCCTTGCCCTAATATGGCTTCTACTAATCGCATTCCATTAGGTGCTACTCCTAATGGGTCGAGTCCTTCCGACCCGAACCCTGCTCTAGTTAAATCTTGTTCTAACAATCTTGTCTCTAAGCCTAGTGATGGTCATGATTTTGAACATCGTTGTGCTATTGCCCAGCCTCTCTTAGCACCACGACCCTCGGTGGTTTCTGCTTCCTTGAGTGTTGTTTCACCGTATGTTGAGAATCCTCAGGATTATAATGAGGGCACTACTAGGGTAAGTGCTTCTTCTCATGATCCTCGCCGAGTTCTACACTTTGACCTTGTCGTTCCTTTGTTAGATACATCTCAACCCCTTATTGATTATGTTCATTGTCATTTGCACCCTACACTAGTTCATTACCGAATTTTAATAATGCAACATCTTATCCCTTGTTGGCTAATGATCTAAAGCACACTAGGGACATTTGAAAATTATGTATTATTGGCTATGTTGCAGGTAAATTCCTTGGCTACACAGCTCTAAACTATCTCATTTCCAATGTATGGAAATGTTCTGCTAAGTTAATTGTTCATGACTCTAAATAGTTGATATATACTTTTCATTTTAAGACTGATAAGATTATTGTCTATTTCGGAAGGCCATTAGTCTTAAAATCCATGCCATAATTCTTTAATTTTGCGGCTACAAATATATCTATGATCTCGATTTGGGTTAGGTTTCCTAATCCCCCACTTCAGTGTTGGTCTTTAACTTGCCTGTCCAAGATAGCAAATGTTCTTAGTGATTAGTATTTAAAAGTGCATTTTTAGTAAGGTTTTATATAGTTAAATTCCCTGTGGTTCGACCCCAGTCTTGCCGGGTTATTTATTACTTTGACACTCTTGCATTTAGGATAAGACATCAACTTTTTGATCATGTCACTTGGCAAACCAATTCAATGTGATCTCTTCACCACCTCTATGTCCAAGTTCTTTTATGCTAGAGTCCTCATTGAGGTGTATTTGCTCTTAGAGGCTAACCACTATTAATATTATGCCTAATGGAATGTCTCTTGATGAGTACTTAAAAGTGTATTTTTATCAAGATTTTAAATCATCATTTTGCACTTGAAATATCAATAACTCCTTAACTAAAACATGTTTTATAATAACAAGTCTGATACCATAAGATACATTTAATTTATGGTAAATGTTCATCCTAAATGCAGGCCTTTCATATAAATGAAAGGATTGATTGATGAGTTGAAGTACTAAAATTGAAATGACAAATAGATGGTGAAGCTTGGAAAAGAGATGTTGGTTTAGTCCAAACTGGAACACTGCTTAGTAATTGGATCATAACTAGAGCTATAGAACTTGGATTTAGGTTTGCTTTATATGGATAGAAAGCTATGACATAGGCCTAAAACTTTTATATGGAAGGTAAGACTTAATTCTGCTATTTGGAAGTCCAAATCTTAACAACAATGTAGAAGTCAAAATCTATCCTACAGCCCAAATACTATTCAATGTTTAGCCTATATATCAAGTTGTATAAGTCCAAATAACCTTAATTTTTTTTCTGGAAAGCTGAGACAATTTCCTAAAACTTTCATAGGTAAGGTTGGTCCAAATTTTGATGTTAGCATGATGTTTTTGGTAGACAAGAAGATAAGGATTGTCACTAAGTCAAGAGCCTGACGCCCACTCAATAATTAGTCATCAAATCAATAGTTCCTTGGTTTTCAGATCAAGATCATGTTCTTGCTCTTTCTCTTTATATTTTTATAATGTTTAGGTTTTGCTTTTATTAATCTTTTGTTTATGCCTTTCAATTCATTTCCTTTACTCAGTTACCTTTTTTTTTTTATTTATATTCTTATCTTGTTTATTTATGTTTCTCTCTTTCATTATGTTTAGCTAAGTTTATTATGTCAAGGTGAAAAGGTTACACTAATGGTGTAAGAATAAGTATAGTGTAAACTTAATATGGACGTTAATGTTTGATACTAACATGTTTTATAATTGTTATCTTGTTCACTCTTTAATACTTTGCTTGTTAAATGACTAATCTTGATTTATGTTATATAACACTTGGTACAACAAATGCTTGGCACTTTCATAGCCCATAATGTATGCAACCGCATGTTGTAACTGAAACTTGTGCTATGAAAGGAACTTGATTTTTGTTAATATAAGTTATAATCATGAATGCTTGATAACATTTACAAG